TCCAGAGGACCGCATACACTTAGCCCAACAACTATGAGCGCCACGCTGGTGAGCGTTAGATCTAACATTAATGACGTAATCTCTGAACTGTACCTAATGGGATCAGTGACGTGGGTGTATAGTGATGTGCTATAGATTGGCTTATGTAAATAGGCCTCGTACTGTTCCGCCTCGTTTGCTGGAGTCTACAAGTCCTGGATGTTCAGATCTCGTAATGAGGAGTTGGGTGTATTTCTGTATCACATGGAAGGCTGACACCAGTTTTTGGTCCATCTTCAGAGTGGATTTGTGTGGTTGGCAAACTACGCACACGGGGCATGTGTAGTCTTTCAACCACAGTTTACATGAGGATCATCTATAGATAAATAGATAAATGGTATATTCCTCGGTGATTCGAGGTGCAGTCCAACTATGCAGTCCAACTATGAACCCACAACAAAGGTATGTTTTGTAATAAGTGGTCACTCTTACACCCCGTCCGTTTTGTTATTTCGAAAAGTGAAATACTGGGTAAACCGATTTCAGTGTCGGCAATTTCACAGCTGAGTCACATTTCGGTGATAACTAGCTATCTCGAGGCTCTGATGCCTGACGGTGAGGGTTTATCCAACGTACTAAGAAGACCTTGTATGTGAGTCACCTCAAGTGAATCATTGTACGTAGGACGTTGGACTTCCACGCCAAACAGGCGTGTGTGAAACTCAAATAAACTGTTTCTTTTCATTTTTTCCTTTCTTACGCTTTTTGCATCCCTTTTGCCATGGTTCTGATGGCACATTGTCCGTAAACAGATTTTGATAGATATATGTATATATGTATATACGTATATTTATATGTATGTAATGTATATATGTGTAGGTATATACGTATATGTATGAATGCATATGTATATGTTGATCGTCGCTGGAGGGGACGGAGTGCACCGTCCTCGTGGCGGTGCTAGGCTCAAAGAGTGGTTCCATCCTGTTTGGAACGGGCTACGGTCCAGCCACCGCCATGTGTACGTCCGGTGTGTATGATTTCCCAATTAGGCCGGAATGATTCTATTCTGCCTGTTGAAGGATTGTGGGCCGGCTCCGTTGATGAAATGTGGCTCCCATTCACATGCCTCCCGGTCTTATTCCTTCGGGTTTACACCGGATATGGGGTGTGTGGGTGGAACTATTGGTGGTGCAGCGCAAGCCACCCATGGTCCCCTTTGTAGGCGCAGTCATCCTGTGACTGTTCCCATGATTTCAACCATGCTGCAACAAGGAAGCATGATTTTTATTCACCAGAAAGGTAATCGACCTGAGCCTAGAAATTACCACCCGATAAGACTAATAATTGATCTATCATCATAAATGCACTACTGAAGTATTTGATAAAAACAGCTTATTGGCGCTACAGCAACAAGACTTTTGTCAAAATTCTTTGTGTATTGCAAACCTAGAGGCAGCGGTTAGAACAAAACCGCTGATGGTGAAGCGCCAGTCCAAATCATTTTCCTAAAATCATCAAAAGCGTTTGCTCGCTTCGAATATCGATTGCTCCTATACAAGGTTCGGAACTATGATAATGACGAGCCAATCCTGGGTTGATAAACTCGAAGAGAAAAATAATTCATCCGGCGCCAAAGCCGACTGCATTGGGTGTTAAGTTTCAATTTAAAACCCCTTAATTCTGTGTTGCAGCTAAGCTTCAGGAAGTGGCAGCAAGCTTGACCAGGGTTTTTCAAAATCTGGTGTGCCAGGATGAGGTCACCACGTAGACGTTGATATCGTTCGCCATGCACTCACACGGCTTCCAGTCCACTATGATATCGCAGGTGGAAAAATCCCTTCACGTTTTTCGTTGCCCGTCGCTGTGAGGTATCCAGTGTAACCAGGTTGCCTTTAAACCAGAGTTGCCTAGCTTGGATTGTGTACTCTACATGGGCGTTACATATGCAATGTGCATTTGAGGGAAAATGGAGAGATCAAACCACCCGAAAACCCTCCGTAACAGACCAACATGTTGGTTTGCAGCTTGGAAGCCTTTAAGAATTACGCCGAACAGCTGAGGTCGTCTTGGATCACCACCATAAGGTTTCCTTCTTGTGGGGCGCTTTTCAAAATCTTGCCTAGAAGCTTATATGTGTACGTGAGTTTGTAGCGGACATGCTCGGTTTTGCACTTGTCCGTCTTAAACGGAAGTAGATTTAGCTTTGGCCATTCAAAAGCGCAGTCTAAGTCATGTTACAACATACCGCAATTTTCCTGACAGTCGATTGCCCGCCATATATTGATGTCACCTGCGAAAGGCAAGGCAAGTGACTTGATGACACTTGGAAGGTCGTTACTGAAGAATAAGCATAACCGCGGCTCAAGTGTTCATTTGTTCTCCGAGCTTGGCGGTTTTCTCGCAAACGTTTCACCACCATGCGAGGTGGCATCCTCAGTGCAGTGACGATGCCACCTCGCATGGTGGTGAAACGTTTGCGAGAAAACCGCCAAGCTCGGAGTACAAATGAACAATTGATTCATCAACCCGAGCTACCAGTACTTCGAAACATTTTAAATAACCGCGGCTGCAATACCGATCCTTGTGGAACACCGCAGTCCACACCAACTGGATCAGAAAATAAACCTCAAACTCAAAGCTGAAGGCGCAGCTGAAAGAGGAAGTTTCCGATCCATCCAAGGACAGGGTTTCCAATTCCGTACGCTTGCAGCTTTTGGAGAAGAATACGCTGACCTACGCGCTCGAATGCTGTGGAAAAGTTTAGGTAGATGGTATCAATATCCGTCCAAATGTCTGCTATCTCGGTCCAACTGCTACGGACAAGCAGTAGGGTGCTAGTATATGACTGATCCTTACGAAATCCGTGTTGCTCCGGTGCTATGATGTTAGACCTTTTAAAGTAGTCCAATACAGCCTTAGCTATGATCGATTGCATCATCCTTGAGAGCACCGGGCAAAGAATCACTGGGCGATAGTTGGCTGGATCCGAACGGCTACCACTTTTGAAAATCTGGGTAATGATGCTTTGGTTCCTCATGCTAGCGACCTGTTGTTCGTCAAGGCATCCTTGGAAAACGCTGGTTAATGATTCAGCTATTCTCATAGCTGCCACATGTAACGCTTCTGGGAAAATGTTGTTAACTCCGGAGGAACCATGGGTGCGCAACAACAGCAGTTTCCTCAAAATGGTGGCCGAACTAAAGGTTATGTGTGTAAAGAACGGCATCCGGGAAAATGGGACAGATATGTTACAAATAGTTTGCAGTTTATACCCTAGGTAGCATTGGGATTTTTTACTTGAGTAATTTGACTGACTGGTATGAAATTACATTTCTCTACTAGTGCGCTTTAATGATGGCTAGCCGACAAAATATATTCGTGTCCCTTTTGTCCGTTCCATGTTGTTACAGAAAGGGTGGTGTGGTCATCTACTTAAATGAGAACAAGCGGTGGTGATTTTCGATCTAGTGGCAGTGACTCGCTTTGGCATGGCAGATCTCACTGAACCAAATATATTTGATGAGTTGTTTGAGTCACAGATTTAAACTACTTCGAAAGATCGGTTATGTAAACAAACTGGAGTGCTCCCTACGAAGTTGTTTCATTTTCACAAATGCTCGCCCATAAAACTCTTTAAACCAGTATCTGGTTTTTGACATTGTCTTTGTGCTCATCACTCTAGCAAAACGCTGGAAGCCATTCAAAGGAGACAAGCGAGCAACAAACCTTCAAATCTGGAGGGTGTAGGCCAGTTCAAACGGTTGAGTCAACACTTTAATAGCTTTAACTGTGACCGAATATTGTCCGTACATTGGCGTTGCGCTCGCATCTAGAAGCAATTATGTTAGACAGTGGTATTCATAAGTCCCGTGTGCGCATTTCATACCTAGGTTGCCTAAGTGGATTGATAGACTGAGCCATTTCGGTCTAAGATTACAGCACAATTCGCGCTTGTGTATAGTGTACTGGTACAGAACTGATGCAGTGAACGTCACTATGTAGTAATGAAGAAGTACTGATACGTGTGACCGAAATCCATAATTCATGGTCTGTCTTAGGCTGCATCATCAATGCGTAACACTGGATTGTACAGGCTTATGGTGGGAACTAATCTCATGTGGCACGGAACATCCCACTGATTTGATCCCGCTTCGCCGTTAGGTCAGCATTTTCGCATACCTTAAATTGTGCTGCCTGCAAAGCTGTAATTAATTAGAAAAACCAGTGGTAATGGATCAATGAATGCACAATTGATCCTGGTAAGATTGACCGGAGACTTAAGTCCTTTTAGCGGATATGGTCATCAGCATGGACCAAATTCGTTGTAGGACTTTACAGATTGACACCCCAGTTTTTCGTTGGCTGCTTTTACCACTTTGCATAATATTCATAGTTCAAGAATTCATATATCTCATTCAGAGAACAATTCTGTTTGAGATTATGTGAATGTCTGCTTTCATCTGTTCACAATATAACATTTACTATTACCAAGCCAATGCCAATGATGTAATTAGGCTTGTCCAAAGTCGGCGTTTAAGGAGTTTGTTTTTTCGAGCAGTAAGGTGTGCTAATGGGCAAAACTTCTTTGCGTAAAACTCTTAAATGCGTTCTAAAAGTATGTTTAGTCTCTGTTCTTTTATTTTTGTACTTCTACCTTTCCCAGAATGAATTCGAGATTAAAAAAATGTAGTTTGGCCGCCATGTATGAGATAAAAAGCGCCAGACTAAAAGGTGAGTTAGATCTTGTGCTGATCAATTTCATCGTTCCACTGTGTAAATTGTAGGATGCTAATTCAACCGAAAATAATGCAGACGATATGGCGATCAAGGAAAGAGAAGAAGAAGGGGAGATGAGTGCAAAATTGGCCATGTTCAAGTCTTATAAAAGAACATACACTTCGAATCCACATCATCTGACTGCTCGTAAATCCCACACATGCAAATACCGTCTTCCGGTTACCGTGACCCAGAAGAGGCTATCGGTTGTGTATTGGTTAGCATAGAAAGCGAAATCTTACTTTCTGATGAACGAGGACCGCTCTCTTTCGTAAGCGGTGGACGAAATGCCTTTATGTTCACAAAGCTGGCCCTGCGGCAAGCACGTTCAATTTGGCTCAACGCGTCGTGAGCTGGTAAATGATCCACTTTCTGGTAGTTTATCTGTACAAGAGGCATAAAATGGAATGATTATTTGCTGAGTGTGGTTAACTACCCCATCCAGAATAAGATAAACAGACGCTTGAGCTTTGCCCTGGTAATATTGCATTGCACATTAATTCGGCATCTAGTTTGCAGTGTGCAAAGTTTAAGACACCGTCCATGAATAATTCTTATAGTTAATCTACACAAAAGTGTTCAGATAGCAAATCACTACATATGCGACACATCTTATATTTCATTTGCTAAAAGTTTTGAATGTACACATCAAGCAGATCATCAAACAAGACTTTCTACCCACCCACATGTTTAATAATAAACATTCAGAGCTCGCCTATAACAAATTTTCCGTAAAAGTAGGCGCTATTGTCCAAGAAGGTGGTGATGACTTTGCGGACGATGTCACACAGATATGGGCTGCGAATGTCACTAGAGTGTTTCCGTCAGTGCCTATACTCCTTCGATCCATTGGTAACCGCCGTCATCTCACTTGATGAAACAGCTCATATTGTGCAATGTTTCGAGTGCAAAGCACTTTACCTTCATCTGTCTCAGATGCTGTACCAACAAATAAATGACCTAGATTCACAAAAAAGCAAAGGAACCCAAAAAGAAATCGATTTCCTTATCGTCGTTTATGTTTCTTGACTCTGAATGGTATTCTTTCATTTTGCTGAACAACGACAATGGAACAATTGTATTCTAGGGGTAAAAAAGGCCAAAGCTTGGCGGGTCCCATGGGATAGTTTCTGGGAGATAAACAAGTTCAAATGAAAGTAAAAGTTAGATTAAACTCCCCATCATTTCTACGTCAACACAGCTATATATCCCTCCACCTCGATTCAGAATGCGTTGTTCAGCACAATGTTTACCTCTTGCCGCTCGATGAAAAGAATTCACGTCAACTATTGCAGATAGTGTAACGCATCGTCCAGCCGATTTTTAACGATGGGTACCATGAGCATAGAAACAACCAAAGACGGAAGAGCATTCCAAGGCCGACAAATTGAAAAGCAAGAATAATCTCGGCGGCATTCCAGTCGACTGTATTGAGTCGACAGTTTCAGTTGGTTTCACCACAGTTTTGCGTTGCTGTTGACTTTCACGATGTGGCAGCAAGCGTACTCGAGTTTTTCAAGATCTGGCTGGCCAGAATGAGATCACCTCGTAGACGACAATAACTTCCACTGTATATTCCTAGGGCTTTGAGCTGCAAATAGTTTGGCAAGTGGAGCAAGCTCTCCACATTTTTGGTTTGTCACTGTGAAGTTTCTAATGAATCCAGATCGCCTTATTGCCGGAGTTGTCAAACCTGAATCGCGTACTCAAGATGTTGCCTCATATATGCGTTGGGCAGTTGAAGGAAGATGGAGGATTCGAACAGTCCGAATGCCCTCCGTAAGAAACCGAAAGGTTGGCTTGCGGTTTTGAGACATTCTTGGGCTGCTTCCAACAGCCAAGATGATCTTGTATTACTAACCCAAAGTCGCAATTCTGTAAGGAGATCTATAAAATGCGGCCCTCAAACTTGTATGCACAGATCGGTTATGGCGTACATACACAAATTTAAACTTGGCCGTGTTGAACACAAGTAGATTTGTCTTTGAGCAATAAAAAATGAAGACCAAGAATAAGCGCGGCGCTAACACTGATCTTCGTGGAACACCGCAACCAACATCGATGGGATGGGACTATGAACCCCGAACCCAAACAAGAAGGCGCCGCTGTGGAAGCAAATTTCAAAGGATAACTTCACCAATTCCGTATGGTTACAGCTTTTGTAGAAAGATTCGATCATTAATTGGTTGGACGCTTTAAAAACCTTAAGAGAGATGACATCGGTTCTGGTCACGCTGCCCGCTGTTTCCCTCCAACTGCCACGCGCAATCAGCAGTTTGGTAGCACATGATAGATGGCAGAATCGGTGTTGCTCGGGTGCTATGATGTTGGAGCTTTCCAAATAACACATTAGTGTCTCAGCTATGCTCAACTCTATTACCTGCATGAGATTTGGGAGAAGAAGCACTGGAATATAATCAAAGGTTTTCGAACTGCTACCACCCTTATAAATCGGAGTAACCATAACATGCTTCCACACACTAGGATCATCATCAACAGCAGTACACCAGCCATCTGAACTGACCCTTCGTTGCCACACAACCATGAGGACCTATGAATTAAAGAATAAGAATAGGGATAGAAGGGGAACTTACTTGAAAACCTTAATGCACTAAGCAATCATTCAGGCTCAAGGCGCCTTCACCTTGTGTAGACAACATACCGTCATAAAAAGCTGGCTATCATGCAAATATAAGACGGCATCGGCGAAACAGCTTCCTTGTGGCTTCCACTGCCCCACGTCATAATCAGCCATTATCCGGCAGATAGCTCAGCACCAAACACAATTTAAACGGGCAATCCGAATAGGAGACGGCAGCAGATGCGTCACTGGTGTGGGTTACGAGCCATGTCCTCTAAAGTCTCGAGCCAAGCACAAGGCGAATCACGTCAACTCCAGCCCGGAAGGCGAGACGGACCAACAGCACCCAGTATGGTCCTCCACCCACTAGGAACTTACTATTCATCCACACATCATTGTTATAAGCGGGTTATTGTTTCGGCTGTCCTCTCAGATGTCACCCGCAGCGCTTTCGGATAAATGCTGTCAGCTTCTGAAGAACTAGGAACGCGCGACGGCAGCACCTTCCTCAAAACCGTTGTTGAACTAGAAGTGACGTGTGTAAATACTGGCGTGTGGAGGGATGGGACAGGCATGTAAGTGGCGTTTGGTAATTTTGGAGCATATTGGAGCCGTAGAGCTACATCCTCGCGATTTGTGTACACACTTTCTCTTAGATGAGTGAAGAAAAATCACAGTTCAATTTCCAAGGGCTGTTCCCATGTACGTATAAATGCTTCTTACTAACACAAAACCTTTCAGGTAGGCGCTGCTGGTTTACTAATTTGTTCCCACGGTCATGTGTGGTACAGTCATTACGCTGCAATACATTCTTGCTCCAGCTGGCAGGACTATGTTTTGCTCCGCATGCACGTCACTCTACGACTCTTACTGCCATGTATTAATGTGTTCTGCTCCGAATGAATGATGGAGTTGTTGCTGAACGAAGCGGACTATTTTTGATGCAGATAAGACCAGATAACAAAAGTTGTTGGCAATATACGCCAAAACGTTTACATCGAGATAATGAGATGTAAAATTGGTTAATTTGGGCTTTTCCAATCCAACTGAGCTAAAGCAGTTACTCTGAGGTGTAGCAACGCAAACTTCCCTGATGAAGTTTTAGCCTTTCCCATAATCTCATACTAATCAGAGTAACATGTAATCCAGATATACAGCTGTACCTTACAGCAACGACACAAACCCCTACGTCACACATTTCATGTAAGTATGATATACTGTGGCAAGCAGCTATCAATGTTCGTAATACTTATGACGGGGATAACTTTCGGTTCAGTTGAACAACTGGTTACAATAAATGGTACTCAAAATTGAACTTATGATTGGCTAACAAAACTTTTCGCGTGTTAGTATCTCATTACTTTATGCCTCCTTTAATTGTTTATGTGAGCTCCAAGTTCTCTAATTGCCGAAGCCGCTATCAGTAAGATTAAAGTTTAAAATTGTTATACTGAAATGTAATGCAAGATTTTTATGGTCTAGCCTTATCTAGGATGCATGGCCCGCCGTGTGGAGCATCTGGAAGGAAGAGCGCGTTTCAAACAGGCGGTCCATGTTTACTCTGACCTTCACCGATCACCACCTGCTCGTCTCACAAGCACATCCGCCCTTATTTTTTAGTTAGGGGGTATGGTTTTTAATTTACTTATGAGTAGAAAGATTTTGGCGAGTATTTTTGTTCGTCGCAGTCAGCCGACAATTCAGATAATTTAACAACCTATCCGGAATAAAATCATGGTGGCCGTTTCGCTTTATTGGGGCTCGTCAGCGGTGCGCATCCTTCGGTCCTCTACGGAGGATCGAACCCATAACTGCTAGTGCCCTGTGCCAACTAGTCCGCAGCTTATGCAACTGAGCCGTGGAGGACGGCAGCCGACCATCACGAATTGCTAGCTAACTGCGGTGTAGCCCGATCCATTCTCTAATGCCATGCAGGCACTTGCCATGCAGATGACAGCGGTTGGCGGTCCGGCGTCAGGACTTCCCGACTACGGCAGCTATGAATCGACATGGCATTTATGGAATCCGTAAGGGCGAATTTGTTTTACTTATGAGTAGAAGGATTTTGGCGAGTATTTTTGTTCGTCGCAGTCAGCCGGATAGGTAGTTGGCTTATCTGAATTGTCGGCTGACTGCGACGAACAAAAGTATGGTTTTTACATTTACCGGGAGTCTCTTGCAACGATGCCATGGAGCCAAAAATGGCAAAATCCACACATCAGTGCCCAGATGATATGTACCCCATGGACATTGGCCGTGCTCTGTGGCGTTACTAATCAGTTTTATACATATCAATCATGCAGTGAGGCGACTACTCGTACTTAAATGCAGTCATCAAAACCGACTCTGAACCGCTGTTGAGCACAGCTCTTGTGGAGTTAACATCATACATTTCGACAGCATGGAAGTCTGTTCATAGCGGACTGGTAACAGAGGAATAGATTGTTGTAGTTCGCTAGGCAGCCAACTTATTCACTTGAGCTTCAATAAACGAGATTATTTGATAGCAATAGCGCATATCTTTCTGTTAATTTGCCTCAGCCTTGTATGTTGCATCAGATATTGGTATCCCTTTAGCATAGTAAACATGAATAACATTCAAATCCAGTAGAGTATGTTACGTACACTTTTGGCGTTGCTGACAATTTGCATCGCAGCCAGACGCATCCAGGCAGGTGTCACGCCTAAAGAAATGCTTTGCAATGCCGCTTCAGCTCGCTGCTGAAAAGTAACAGCATACACTTGCGGGATCTTGCTGGGTCTGAACAAATGAACTTACTCTCATGCACCAGTTATCTCAGCTGCTAAACCGTGATGAGAATGGCTGACTGGAATACAACGACACTCATTCTTCCCTGTGGCTTAGTTTTGTACACAAACATAGGACATATTAAGCTTCCCGAAATAGGACTTCTCCATAATCCACCACTAGTCGATGTTGCACGTAAGTCGTTTTGGTAGTTACTACTTATTTAGAATGAGTAGGCTAGTTTGGTGTTATTTAAGTGTTCGCTGGGGCTGGATTTAGTCAGAAAACATGTGTCAGCTTTCACCAGCCAGCAGCGGAAGCTCATTTATAACATGCGTGATAGTAGAGATGGGTCGCGCTATCTCACGGCTTTTAACTAGCCCTAGCGATTAACCGACGTTACACTGGTTCAGTGTCTAAAGTCACTGGCTGGTTAGAGTATATACAATTGCTCAACTCCGGCAGGATCCGATGGATGCGCACCAATCACCAGTCTCAACAGTTCGAAGTGGTCGTCTCGAACACTTTGGAGAGTACAATACCTGTCTGACGAAGTCGCGCTGGGATGCACTTTCTCAATAAATTCCATACCAGTCCTTTTCAGTTGATGCCGACGGAAATTTGGACTACGGCCAGTGCACAAGCTTAGTGCTGAAATGTTTTCTGTGAGAGAAACACATGCGGGTAACCTCACAGTGAATCTTACGCACTGGAGACTGAGTGTGCCCTTTATGGAATGAGAGAGGTTCGATGCACAATATGACATGTCGCTAAATAGGTAAAAATGATACTTGCATTATAGTAGCTTAAAAAGGATCGATTGATTGAGCATGGGTATTGACTCTTTCTGTTGTCTGGCAAATCAATATCACCTTAGGCGGCATGTAATATATTGCCAGAGAAGGGATTTGTAGTCACGGAGAGTCAGTTGTCTTCAAGCGTTAACAAAAATCAAGAGGGCTTTCTCGAAAGTCACATTTGGGCAGAGACTGCCACTCAATTCGTAGCACTGTGGTTGCTAGTAAAACGGCCCGTGTCCTTATGAAGTGAAGGGCTATTATTATCAGATAACTAAGTTTGGCTGATATGGCAGGTGCGAACCTACGGTGAATCTTCGCCATTGTTAACAGTGAAAGAATTCATTAGGTAATTCAGTTCATTTGGGTGTGCTGTAGCATGAGCTCTTGCCTTACATTTTAAACCCAAAGCCCAAATAAACCGATGCAAAGTGGGTGTCAAATTAAATGTAAGCATTAATTGAAAATCTCAATGCTCAGATTATGCAGCCACTATGAGTAAAGGATGGCACTACGTTCATCTATTATGAAAAGCACCATTTAAGGTATTGTTCGTTGAAGTCAAATATGCACGGGCGCAATATAGACCGATGAGACAAGAGGAAGATTTGATAATTTAATTGGGGCGAATGTAATTTGATGAACAGTTAAGGGAATTTTCTTATATGGTTACTAGGCTATGATGATGTTTGTCGCAGTTAGACAGACACCACACATCTAGAAATGCAAATAACGACCATTACACCCAATCAGGACTAGTTAGAAGCGTTTAACTGACGGATTTTCCTTGCCTCCAAGCCTGTCATCTAGCTTCTAACAGCAAACGACTTCAGCCACAGAACCATAGATCAGCGTATTGAATCAACATCACCCATCATCATCGCGGTTCCTGTTACACCGTCATGAGTGACATGAACGCGAAGTGGAAAGGATTGGCAGATCAAACTCACGGCTTGCTTTTCGCATTTTCCGCATGCTAGAATCTTATGTTCACCTCTCAGTCATGTATTAATATTGGCATAAAAATATAACTAACCATAGAATGTAGTTGTGAAGCAGATTGACTAAGATCAATGATATTAACTTCGTCTCAACTTACTGCGATACTCTACTTTTGGTGGTAAATTTGGGTCAAGGTTTTGCACTTCCACTACAAGTACATATCAACTTACTAAACTACCACTATATGTGCCTAGGTTACAACCGGTGGCACAGAGGACGACCGATTGGCAACCGTGCAATTTGATGTTCATGGAATCCATTGACCAAATATACTAGTATGGTGTACACAGACCAAGTGCCGTCAACTGGTCATAAAAATGTAACCCGCACTAAGCATACACAGATAACAGCCAATGTGCTACTTCGATACTCCAAGATATACTATTTCGGTTAGGTTCCTAGCAGGATTTATACTTGCTGCTATTCCACGACAGATTTTTCTACAGTCTACACTATTTGAGACCCAGAGTGCGCATTTGAGTGCTCATGAGGATTAAGATCATTAAAACTTCTACCAGTATGTTTTGAAAGCAAGTAGATTATTATAAATGACAAAGACAGTACCAGTTTACCTCTTCGGGCTGTATAGTAATGTGAATTTAGTTAGCGCACAGGGCGGCCAAGAATCACATTTAACAAACAGAGGGAAAATTTTGACTACGTGTTTTGACCGTTATGCTGAACGAACAAACCATGACAGCGAGAATTTACTCATTCGGAGTTTAAACTAAGTACGGGCGCAAATTTGCCGTAAGTATATCAGTGGTTGGATATTGGAAGAAGTTGTAAGGTACACATAATCCCAAACTCGCTGAAGATCCTCATGTCATCCATACAAGGACCAAATTATCTTTTGTCATAAACCACGGTTGGCATTAAGAATCCCATCTATCTACACGTTTGTGTAGGAGACAAGAGGAATATCCGCGAAAAGAAGCGGAAAAAGAGGAAAGAAGTTTCGCCATAAGACAAACAGAAGAAATAAACAGAGGACGCTGCAGCACTTACCTCCAAGACACAATCGCCTTCTTTGAGAATGCCATCACAAGCTGCCTGACTTTCTGGTGCTATCGATTTAATGTAAACGCTACCAGCATCTACAACATGAAAAGCACATTAAAGCTAAAGATAAATTCGCGTGACTCATACAGATACGACGACTCCACTATTTACTGAAACGCATAAACAATTTCTTATAGTAACCAACCTATCAATGGAACCCTGTGAGGGACATTCAGCGTGAAGATACTTCTGCCGAATACTGCCACAGATGAAGAGAAATATCACCGCTTTTCGCTTTTTAGTATATTTGTTAGTTAGTTTATCTTAATTAGGAATTAACGGCTGCTGTATATCGGATGTAATAATGAAGGATTTTATGGAAAGTAGGCATTCGAAGCAAAATAAACAAGAGCACAATAATAGTAGCCAGTGAAAGAAACCCGTGTTAATTCAGCTAATTCATCATCGCCACTCCCAATCAGCAGGCTTAGGCTAGTCTGGAACCGCACCAGACGCCGGCGTTTCGACCTTATTGTTCGTAACTGGCATGGCCGTGGAAGATGAGCCGGACTATATCACAGTCAACTGTCAATCACGCAGATCCGCGGCTGTCACCCATGGCGAAGTGGCACTAGCTACTGGCATCCTGAAGTCATGGGGGCGGAACCCGGCAGCAGTCCGCTGGGATGCGCACCACGAACGAGACCCATAAGGTCGAAACGCCAGCGTCTGGTGCTGTTCCAGACTAGCCTAAGCCTGCCGATTAGGAGTGGCGATGATGAATTAGCTGAACTATGCCAAACTCCTCACTGCTCATCAGAACCCGAGTTAAGCCTGGAATCAGTAAAGTCGCCGTTAACGCAAAAGTATTTTACGCTAAACATATGCTGCTTATTGCCGTTCTGAGAGGTTAGCAAATGCGGAATAAACTAAAATGTACCTGATCCCTAAAATAAAATTGACGCACTGCATGTGTGAAAGGAAACAATTCATCTGCAGGCAGTTGGAAGCAAATCAGGTGACACAGTCCAAACAATGACCATACAGCCAACGATATTCAGAGCGCTATGGACAAAATTCACATTACGTTAATCAATGCTAGTGTGAGTTTTTACTGATAGTATAATCGGAAAATCTGATTAAGTAGAATTAAAATCCTCTTCAATAAATAGGGATTGAGTTAGGTCTAACATCATCGATCCTGAAATTTTGCCTGACTTTATTGTACATTAAGCTACAAACTGGACAGCATCAGTATGAAGATAAAACTACTGTAATAGGAATAACTCTACTAAATATACTTAATGCACCAGCATCGATCATCCCCCGTGCAAATATACGTTGTTATTTCTTTTGGCATTGTATGATGCCTTCTGTAGCTACATAAACTCAAACAATGGTGTCGAGATAAGCCTTAAAATACTATCTTAAAACGATAGCAAACAATCGGGAAATAGTTCCATAAGACCGGAGAAATAATTTTGAAGCAAAGCATGAAAAACTAGAAAAGGAACAGCTGACTCAAAGCAGCCGTTATGTGACTTCTACTGTGTGGTTTGCCGTTGTAAAGTAGTCAACTTTTAACTAGTTAACCATAGAGCTGCATCCCATCAGGCGCAAAACCAGCAAGCAAAAGTCATGTATTCACTAGGTTGGCGGTCTGGAAGGGAACGTGATTCACGCAATGCAAGTGATTTTCATATATCTATTAGTTCAGTGTGCTTCGGGAACATGGCAAACCTGTTAGTAACCCAGTTATGACCTGTGATGTGTTTAGTGCCTACTTTACTGCCTGCATGTTCTTTGAATCCGACCTCCTACCTAAATGACTTCAATCCGTAATTACCAATCGCCCATGTACTGTATAAAATTATATTAATGGTGTTCCTCCTATAATGGAGACCATCAAACCATTTCTCAGGTTGGCCACCTATAAAACACATAATCAAATATTGCAGGATAGAGCAAAAATCACTTAAAAAGCTAAAAGTGTCCGTATTCACTCGTACAAAAGCGTGAGCATGTCTAAATTTACTGATCTGTTCCTATCTTGGGAACAACTTTATGTATTTTGGGGAAATATACGTATAATTATAGTTGTTGTGATTGTTGCTGTAGTATGAACCCTTGCCAAGCTCCGATAGATGAAATTAAGAATTAGTCTGCTAGGGAGAAAGTAAGAATTTTCCTGAAAATCGGCGACAGATTCGGCTATTCGGAGACATTTCTAACTGATAACGGCACACAGTTCACCTCGGCAGTTTTCACGAAATTCTGCAGACAATACACCGTCCAGCACATCCGCTCACCACCGTTTACCCACAATCGAATGGACAGAAAGGGAGATAGATGGATGCCACCTAGCGAGCTCTCTTCAAATCAAAATGGGAGGGACTTATTGAGGAAGTGATTGAGCGATTCTATTCCTTATACCGATCAACGCCAAACCCACAATTGTTGGATGGAGTTTCGCCAGCATAGGCCATGATGAACAGAAAGCTGCGTATGCCATTTGATGCCATTCGACCAAGCACGCTGTCCGCAGTTGGGGAAAGGAATTTCAGGATGGAATGGGATGTTAACCGGCAGCGTGGAGCTAAGCAACGATAGTTTATGCTAGGGCAGACAGTGCTAATACAGGAATATCGGGCAGGTTATGCAAACTGGACACCTGGCACGATCAAAGACAAGCGAAGGAATGTCATGTATGAAGTGATCGTGGAGACGCAGATCTAGGTTCGCCATACAAACCAGTTACGGCCAACGCTGTACCAACCAGAGGAAGTAAAACCTGCAGCGTTTCCGTTTGACTTGTTAGTGGAAAGCTTTAACTTGCCAAAGCAGCCTATAGAGAAAACTTTACGACAGCCCCTGGATTCACTTCTCGCGCTCTTCAGTCGAGGTCATAGACCAACAGAATACGAACACAGTTCAAGAGACTACAAGTCAATCGCAGGCTTTCGTTATGAACCACAGATCCCAGTTCAGGAAAGGAGGTGCCCATGATAAATTGATAAATTCCCGGAAAATGCATTGCTTCAGTGCTTCATCCATTTCAAACAACTATCGCATCGGTTTCGAACTTAATGGAATGTTTCAAATCCTGCATGTAACCGATGTTCTCCTGCAGACTGACTGGATCAGCTTGGAACTGCTAATTTTTGTAACTTGCCTTCTAATTCTAGAAGTCGAATGTCATGGGATGGCCTATAAATATGATCGTCGTCTGCCGCCTCTGTACAGTTCCAGTGTGAATGCGCTTAACACGTTATTTTGGACTAGGTCGTTTTGCCAGTTCCTTAGTTTGGAATGAAGGTCGTTTGGAATAGGTTAAGTGCCAGTTTTGGAATTGCAGGAAGTGGGAAGGTTTAACAAAGCCTCAATCGGTACCAATAAACATTGGTATTGCTCGGCGATGGAAGGGGCTATACGGATGGTAGCCGCTTAACTTATTTCACACCTAGAGATAATTCAAAAGCCTCTTCACCGCAATCTGTGGTACATTTCCCATAAAAGTTTGGCCAATGAACCACAATTCCTCAAGTGGTTCTGAGCAAACTACTAGTTCGTAACTTCAGAAGTTATGACAGAACGTATGCCCGAATTGGTTATAATCTTCTCACTAGATGCCATTCCGAAAGTGATACTTTACTTCTTCACAAATCTTCTAGCCCAACCGAAGGAAAAAGCAGAACACCAATGACCCTGACTAAATAACGCATTAATCGCCGCCAACAAACACTGTACAACAACTGCGGACCTTCGCTGTGTTTATAGATCTCTTACTGACCTTCGGCTTCTAGAATTGGAAGATCAGCTACCAAGGTTAGTGGTTCCCCATATCTTTTACCGAAGTGGCAGGTGGTTTGTAGTCAAGTGCAGAAACTAGAACAATCCGGAACGTTCGAAATCGATGTGATAATCTTTAATAATAGCTTCATGGCTAAAATGGTGGATTTCCTAGGCAATTCTTACTTTCTCCCGGTCACCTCCCCTACTGAGATATCGTCCGAGGTATACGACGAAAGCTTAGAATTAACTTGCAGTCTTCGGGTCGGTGTTCTCTGCCTGTCGGTCCATCACTTTGGCAGAAGTGCCCGAGAACCTTGTTCCGATGTCCGTGTCCGGATTCTTTGCTCGACTGTGTGCAGTAGTCCACTGCTACCCTCGGCAAGTTGAAGCTTTCCACTAATAAACTGAACTGGAGGTCAGTAGACCTTGCTTGTCTGGTTGGCACAATGTGCGCCGTAACTGGTTTGCAAGCCGTGCCCAGATCTGTGCCCACCATCACGTCATACATGACGTTTCCGCGCATGCTTTTGACCGTTCCTGGCGTCCATTTCGCATGGCCTTCCCGATAGTCACGTACTAGCACCCTATGTCCAAGCGAAAACGAGCTCTTCTTTGCTCAATGCCGCTGGTTAAAATCCTGTACCATTATGCGGTTTCTTTCACCAACAGAGAATTCCCAGCGCGGTCGGATAGCGTCGAAAGGCATGCGAAGCTTCCTGTTCATCATAGCTTGTGCTGGAGAAACTCCGCCTGGCGCTTGTTGATTGATCGGTAGAGAAAAAGGAACTGGTCAACCTCCTCTTCCATACATCCCTCCCCTTTTAATTTGTGGAGAGCTCGCTTGAACGCATCGACAAACCTTTCTGCCTGGTCATCCAACTGTGGGTGAAAAGGCGGCGACCGAACGTGCTGGACGGCGCATTGCTTGCAAAACTCCGTAAACGTTGCTGAAGTGAATTGAGTGCCATTGTCAGTTACAATTGTCTCAGCACAGCCGAATCTGCTAAAGGTTTGGCGCAGTTTTGATACAGTGGCGCTGGTGGTTGTGCTATCCATGAGAAATACTTCTGGCCACTTGCTGTATGAGTCGACTTTAAAGAGGAAACTCCAGCCGTTGATCGGTCCTGCAAAGTCGACATGGATGCGGCACCATGGCTTAGTAGCTTTCGTCCATGAATAGAGTTCTGATTTTTATGGCGCTTCCAAGACACTGTCGTACTTTTGGCAGTGTTTAGCTATTTCTTCTTGTTGTTTGCCAATAAAGGGCCGGAGTTCATAACAGCGGGCAAGCGCCTTCATTCGGTTGATTCCAGGATGCCCGGTGTAGCACTGCGAACAAGGCGCTCCTGAAGTGCCTTGGGGATGAACACTCTTTCCGAAAATAGTATGCAGTCGTGTACAATAGATAGCGAGTGTCTCCACTGGAAGTACTTTTGCAACTCGGCAGGTGGACATGAACGTGGTCAACTTGTTTTGTGGAACTGTGTTACGTTCTTGAGTACTGGGTCCCGAAGCGTTTCGGTTCGTACAGCTTCTGTGGCAACTGGTAGACCGTGCAATGCATCACTTACCACAAAGTTGACGTCAGCTTCAATCTCGATCGAGGCAATGATTGTGTCTTCATGTTCTTGCTGATGGGCATCAATTAGGCATGACACTGCATCTGCTTGGCCAATGGAAATTGTCGACTGGTATTGGATCTCGAAATCATACCCCATTATGGTAAGAGCCCAACGTTGTAGCCGGTTAGCTATGTGGGCCGCGATGCCTTTTTTCGAACCAAAGATAGCCAGCAAGGGCTTGTGATCTGTCAGAAGCTTGAAGCGGCAGCCGTATAGCATTTTATGGAATTTCTTGACCGTGTACACTATGGCCAATGCTGTTTTCTCGATCTAGCTGTAATTTCTCTCGGTATTCGTAAGGGTTCTGGCGTCATGGGCGATTGCTTTCCAAGATCCACCCGTGTACGTGTGTGAATTTACTGCGCCAATTCCATGGCTTGATGCATCTGTGGTTAGGACAATCTTGTTGGAGGGATCAAAATGAGTCAAAAGTAAGAATGAGGACAGCAATGTCTTGACCCGATCGAAGGCATTCTGGCATTCTGATCTCCAGTTCCAAGTTTGGCGTTTGGCTAGTAACTTGTTTAACGGGGCACGCAGGCGGTGCATCTCAGGCAAGAATGCGCTATAGTGGCTGATGAGCCCACAAAAGGAACTCAAGGACTGTAGATCAGTTTGTGGAGGCATATTTCTAATGGCTTCTTTGTTGTATGGATCTGGTCAACGTCCATCCTTTTCGAAGATAAAACCGAGGTATTTGATGATCGTCGTGAAAAGTGTGCATTTATCCTCACGGATCCGGAAACCGTACGACTGTATACAACCAAGCACTTCATCCACTCGGTTAAATATTTCTTCTGGTGTTCGACCCATCACTATGATATCATCCAGATATGCAGCGGTTCCAGGAACGCCCGCTAGCATGGTATCCAGTATTCGTTGGAAAATGGCTGGCGTCGTTTTACACCAAAAGGCAAGCGGTTGTATTGGAATAGCCCACGATGAATGTTGATCGTCAACAACTCCCTCGAGACTTCGTCAACATCCACTTGAAGGTAGGCATCGGATAGATCAAGCTTAACAAAGTACTTGCTACCATTCAGTTTTGCAAAGATATCTTCCGGTACAGGTAATGGGTACTGGTGATCGTCCAGCGCGGCCATGAGGCCAGTTGAGAAGTTAGCACAGACACGTACCATGCCATTTGCTTTCTTCACTGCGACAATAGGTGCGGTCCATGCTGAGTACTTCATGGCTGTGATGACTCCGGCACGCTCCAGTCGATCGAGTTCCTGGTCAACGATTGACATCGCTGTACATGGCATAGCTTTGAACACTGGTTTAGCACCTGGTCGCAAGCTCAGCATTGCTTTGAATTTCGTACAATGCCCAAGCCATCCTGAAAGACAGGGGAAAATTTTCATTTCAGGGTACGTGTCATGTCTTCGACGGACTTTGATGATGGGTCTGGACTTGCTCGAACTCGGTTGCAGATCTGATTCAAGGGAACATCGAGGAGTTGTGACTTTTCAATCCAGTCGAGACCCAGAAGATTTAGATTCGGCCGGTCTGAAATGTAGCACGTTCCCGACTTTTCCACACCTTTGAAAGCAATTTTGAAATTAAGTTCGACTATTACGTTTAACACACCGCCGGATGCATTGTGTGTAACTTTCTTAGACTGGACCATCTTCGGCCTCTTTATGTGATTCCATGTGCTTCTGGAAATAATCGTGATGTCCGAGACCGTGTCAAATTGCAGATTCGTTGGGATCCCATTGAGCAACACGGTGATGAATCGTCGTCTCGGTTTACACTCAATTGGAATGCGGCAACTATGGACAGAGAGTGCGCCATCCTTAATAGGATTCCCTTTCGATAAGACTTCTTCACTTTCTTCGACCTACCTGACTGCAGCATTCCTCCTTATGTCCACGCTTATGGCACGTTTGACGAATATGACTTTTGAACGGACAAAAACGCGCGAAAAGCCATTCGTTGCATGCTGTGGACGGTTTGTTCGTAGACCTCTTGAAGGGTTTGCTTCGGTTGACAATCTTGGCATTTTTCACGAAGTGCACGGTATCTGTTGGTGCGAGACCATTCCTTTCGACCATGGCAGTGTCGTGTTTTAGAGTGAGCAGCCGTTTGCATTCGCTTACGGGGGTCTTCCGTGTCAGATCAGGATCCTGATCTAGCTTAGCTAAAAGCCGCGTGCAGATCTCAGCATCACTGGGGGGTTGCAGAGCGCTGACAAAAATGTGACACTTAAACTGATCGTCCGTTAAAGAGCGTAGTTTGAAACGCCCACACTCACGGTTAATCATGTCTGCTAGGGCCCCAAAGCCGTCCAATTCCTGCTTGACAATTTTCAGGCACTGATAGCGAATACTAAACAAAGATACCGACTCACCAAAAATTGCCTTCAGCTACGACACTATTTCGTCAGACGTTAAATAGTTCGGCTGTTTAGGAAGAATATGGGCTATGAACCTTGAATGTTCACTTATTCCGAGCTTGCGGAGTATCAATCGCACCTTCCAGGAGTCGTCCTGAAGAATGAAGTCCGTCTGGAACATGTCTTCCAAGCGGTTGAACCACCCTTCGAATGCTCATCCAGAATCCGCGTCAAAATTGAATTCAGTGATTGCATTCGTGTGAACATCAACAGAACACGCCTGCCTGGTCCGCGTCGCTGCTCCCATTGTCTGCAAACTCAAGCATTGTGTGAGATTTTCGATCACTTTCATTTGTGCCTCCATTTGAGCTTGCTGTTGGAGAAGCGGCTTTTGAAAATTTTCAGCAGAAAAATTCATCACATTTTCAATTGTCTCCGTCGTTATTAGTTATATCTTCTCACTAGACGCGATTCCGAAATTGACACTTTACTTCTTCACAAATCTTCTAGCCCAACCGAAGGAAAAAGCAGAACACCAATGACCCTGACTAAATAACGCATTAATCGCCGCCAACAAACACTGTACAACAACTGCGGACCTTCGCTGTGTTTATAGATCTCTTACTGACCTTCGGCTTCTAGAATTGGAAGATCAGCTACCAAGGTTAGTGGTTCCCCATATCTTTTACCGAAGTGGCAGGTGGTTTGTAGTCAAGTGCAGAAACTAGAACAATCCGGAACGTTCGAAATCGATGCGATAATCTTTAATAATAGCTTCATGGCGAAAATGGTGGATTTCCTAGGCAATTCTTACTTTCTCCCGGACAGGCTGTATATCCTATTAACCACTAGTGTCGTTTATCAAGTAACAGTAATTAATGGCTGTAAAGCAGTGCAGTTTTATAGTTTTAGTACGCCCACCTAAGCACAAGGCGCCGTGGGGCTAGCCATGCATTAATTCATACACAAAACTCTAGCGAATACTGAAACCTAAGCCTATTCTAAGCGCTGCTGGTAGGCTTAAATGGCCTAACGATTGTGGCGTTAGAGGCCAACACTGGGTGCCGAGCTTCACTCCCGACTCAGGCTATCTCTAGCTGATGATTCGAAATAAGGATAAGACCAGCCTTGGTGTGCGGCTATGGGGCACAACGACACCGAAGCTCATTCAAATTTATTTGTAAGCAAGTATATAGATCTGCTTCATATCATTAATGGGATTTTGCACTAAAGTTAAATGTAGCTAAAGTGAACGTTGTGAAAATTGAAGGGTTGACCACAGACGCTCTCAGTGTCGTGAAGGCGGGCATAGAAAACACTAGGTAAAATAGAAAATCACAGGAATACCTACCGTATTAGAAAACAAGGCAATTAGATCTAAGCATAAGAAACAGGATGTATGAGTATTTTGTGTCCTCATATACTTAACAATGATTAGGCATTATTATAAGGTGCTTCCGCACTCTCAGCATTTAGTATTTCCTCGTCATACATGTTCTCGATGACGCATTCAGCAGATTTTCCACATCGTTTACCGGAAATGTTCCTGGTAAGTCGAGCCAAGTCGATTGAACTGCAATGGCGATCTCAGAATTAATCGGTTGAGGTGGTCGAATCGTCCTTCCAAATTGTTGGAAATTTGTTCGTTGTTCGGACACTAAACATGCGCAACAAATAATCCGAGTGCCTGTGAAGTAGATCACTAAATTTGTCCTACGGACTGCTAGCGAAACGCAAACTAAAATACATGGAGCAAGCACTTGTGAAAAACCGGAACCTAGTCGCCTAACTTAAGTTGTCATGATCTGAAATCATCCAAATCCATTTTTATTCATAATAGGAAACGAAACGCAAGACTAGGTTATATAATACCTGCCTTCATTGTATCCGAATTGAATCCCAAGTTTGTCCGTATCTGTACCAGCCGGCAACAGCGTCTCATGATAGAAAGAGTCAATTGCTTCGAACTAGCAAAATAAACAAGCAAAATTTTCACATTTCAGAATCAGTGAAACGACGTCTAGTCTGAGTGACAAATGTGAGGCTTCAAATCGGATGTTAACTACTTTATGAGCATATGCTGATGATGTTTGGACTAATGTGGTATCAAGATGGACATGAAATTTTTGCAAAAAGCGAGGTATCATCTAGAAATTGATCAGCACATAATTGTTAGTGAAGCTCGTTGAAGGACGCAACACTGTAATCGATGACCCTTCGCACGTGATGTGCCGGTTCTCTTTGGACAGTCAAAAGGTCCTAGAACAGTTATACATATTCACAACGTATTGCCTCAGCGATTTGTATTTCGAGAAGTAAACAAAGCGAAATATCTGTCGTTCAGTACTGAGACAGAGTCGAATCCTTTATGAAAAACCACAGTTGGTAGAGTCAGTATGGATATTCGGCAGAAATGCGTGAGAACATGGACGGCTAGCTGTGCTTTACTGCAAAGGATTAATTCTCATCGGTAGGTAGGATGATCCAAACGCATAACTATGAAATTTATAAGATGGAGAGTCTTTTAATTCACATGAAGCAATCAAAACCAATTAGAGCAAGCTTTTTAGGGTAAAGGAAAGATAAGATGAAACATCAGAATTGCTTTATATGACAAGCATTAGATGGACCAACCAGGAAGGAACATTGATACAGGAAATGACGAGTATAATCAGACTATCCATCACCATGATAAAACATCGCTTCCAGTACATAAGGATGCCGAGCACCATCAACTCGATCTGGTGAACGACAAGATATTTATAAAAACAAAAGCTCGCACAGCGCGTGGTTTCATCGAGGTCTGGCATTCGGACTGGAACTCAATCAGCAAGCAACTGGACGTAAATGATGTCTATGTAGCGTTGCAGGTGAAGTCAGCAATAAGTCCCATACCGATTAACATCAACGTTTTCCCAATTTGTGCCCTTGGAATATCGGAAGGTTGGACCGATTAAGCCTCATTGGTTTGACAAGGAGTATGGAAATCTGGATCGGATGCGACGTATACTGTGGGACCAATTCCTCCTCTCTCTCTCTCTCTCTGGCTGTGCCAATGACTACGAAGATTACAAAATTCAACGAAACCTCTGCAATAGTGCAAAAAGGAATAGGCACCGACATTTCGAAAAGCAGCTAGCAATCGCTGCGAAGACCGTCCTTAATAGAATCTTTGCTTACGTGAAGCGACGCCTGAAGCCGGCATATGATGTGCCAGTGATGGACGGCCAGAGCAGAAAGCACCCAACCTCCAGCATTAAGCATGCATCCGCGTTTGCGGCGCACTGCTCTTCTGCATTTAGAAATGACCAGGTGTCCGTTTCGAGTTCGACGTGTACCGCTTTTACCGAACTTGACAGTCTGGATTATGGCGTTGGAGAGGTATGTCAACTACTCGTCAGCTTTGATGGCACCAAACCTGCAGGACCTGATGGGCTTCCTTTACGGACCCTCAATTCACTTGCGGTCAGCATCTCTCCTGTCGTGACTGAGCTTTTCAACAGGACAATGTCCAAAGGTTCGTAGCCGACTGATTGGAAATGTTCAGTTGTGAAGTCTATTCCGAAAGGCTGCGACCCTAGCAAAGTAGAAAACTACAGAACAATTTGTCGGACACCTATTTTAGCAAAGGTTGCTGAGGAAATCGTAAACGAGGGATTATAGTAGTTTCTACAGTCAAAAGAGGTGCTGATGCCCGCATAGCACGGTTTTATGCAAGGCCGCTCATGCATCGTAAACTTGCTTGTGACGAGGCATGAGAAGTTGAAGGCAATAAGCAAGAGGAAGTCTGTCGACGTGATATTTCAAAAATTCCAGTAAAGCGTTCCACAAGGTCAGTCATGAGGTCCTCCATTACAAACGCAGGACGTGTGGTGTCGGTGGCTCATTGTATCCGTGCATCAGCGACTTTCTTGTTGGACGAAAGTGGTGGGTACAGGTCGACGACCATCTAACTGACTGGTAGCCCTCTACAAGTGGCGCGCCTCAAGGTGCTGTGCTGGGGCCCACTCTGTTCATGATGCACATCAACGATCTACCTCAGGTTCTCCGATCACCGTGTTCCTTGTTTGAGGATTACATGACAATTTGGAGAGAAATTGACGCTCCCGACGACTGTGGCGTACTTCAGCAAGACCTCAACCGCCTATCCACATGGTCTGTAGAAGTTCATCTCCCGGTCAACCCAGCCAAGTCTGTACTTATAAACCTGGGGAAGGGTCCTGACGGCCAAACCTACACCCCTGATGCCTTACCGCTATATCCCACACCTTCCGTGAACGACCTGGGTGTAATCTCACGCTACGATTCGAAATCCGTGGACAACACGAACAGGTTATATGGTAACGGACCGCGCCCGCTTTGGGCGCTCAAAGGTAGGTTAGGCACATGGTGTGAAGAGGTTGCCACTCGTCTCTTCTCTTCCATCATTAGATCAATGCTAGAGTATGGTTGGCCCTCCTACTTTCCGATTACCCGAGGCGAGTCACAAAAGATCGAATGGGTCTAACGTGTTGCTAACAGGCTCATCCCGAGTTTACGTGGCTTGAGGTATGAAGACCGATGCGAAAAACTAGGACTCTACACCTTGTCCAATCGTCGGGTGCAACCCGACCTCATTATGACCTACCCATGCTGAGGCCAATGCTGCACTTACGAGGGCCATGCAGCACCCGCGGACATACGTACAAACTGGTCGTGCCGGATGTGAAAGGTGTTCCCCACCCAATGTGCTTCGAAGGGAAAGTGTTAAATATTTGGAACAGTTTGCCTGAACATGTGTTGGAGGCCGCATCTGTGCAGCAGTGCAAAACGTTGTTAGATGTAAACTTTACCACTATTCGATTCAGAGAACGATTGCACACTTACGATGACATCTCATATCTGTGACTACTGCAATATCGTGAGTCGAGTATTTTAAATGTTACATGAGAACGATAACGATAAATACGGCTGACAATATTTATAACGTTTTCCAGCCTATTTCGAAATAGTTGTACAGAATTCATTTATATTTGCTCTATATTACATTATTCAGTATTCAGTCTGAGATTAAGACAACCAAATGTTCTGTGAAGAAAAAACGAGATTTGTCGCAGTTTAGAAATTGTGATTGAATTAGCTTAAATAAAACCGTGTTCTCCATCGACCATTTTATGCTTCCTGTACAAAGATTGCATGCCACACATTACGGCGATTTAGACTGTTGCATTAGTATTATAAATCATCTTAATCATTTATCGTGATTTGACTAAAGTCTTAGATGCTATGGCACACTTAGCTTCATACATGCTTAGACCATCAGCAAAAAGTTCTGGACCAACCTGTGTTTTGGGCCGAGTGTCAATTACGTTGGTTGACGGAGATCTTCGAGCCACAATTATCGTGGGCATTCTTAATGGAATTCCGCCTTTACTCTTAGAACGATATGGTGCATTGAGCAGATTTTCAGCCAATTCGTAAAGGTTTGCATTGAAAGGAATGTCTGCAGCTTCCGGGGAATCTAACAAACCATAGCGAAGCTGTTCCATGGTGAGACGGTCCAGCGGAAATCCAGAAATAACCAATATTTCATCTCCCGAGCGAATGTTGTGAGCTCTGCATTTTTTCCACAGATTATCATTGGGTGAAAAATATAGAAATATGTTAATCTAAGTGCATTTCTAACGAAATAGCACTAATAGTCATGACATCAAGCTATATTTCGTAAAGGGTTTCAACAGGATTAGCTACATCAACTTCTAGAAATGTATTTTTTTAAAACTCGAAGGCAACTCAAAGAATTATTAGCCCACTACAATGTACGTCTTACATGAGCACCGCTAACCCATCTGACTGAATATCGGAAGCAAGGATCCATACTCAAGTGGACTTGTGTGAGAGAGGAATATTCAACTCTGAATGCTAGCATTATTGCGTGTCATCCGTCAAAGTAGATACCATTATTTTGGTGCAAGTTCATGGTTCAGGAATATTTCAAAACAGTTTCTTTTGATACCTGAATTAAAGTAGCACTTTACTGTGCTCAAAGGCAGTATAATAAGAGAGTGATGCGTTTCTGTGCAATTAATTGCAAACACGACAAATTTATTTTTCTTGGGGGTTGTCTTAGTATTGGCGGTATGACAGATGAGATCTCTCTGTGTGTCTCCAAGGCTAGAGTCAATTTCGCTAACATTCGTCACCTGTGGCTTCGTCGTGACCTAAGGCTAACTCTCAAGGGACGAGTCTATAATACTACGGTACGATCGATTCTACTGTACGGCGGTGAAATTTGGCCCGTTTGCAAAAGTGATGTTCAGAAGCTATCTGTCTTCAATCACCGCTGCCTGTGAAGCATTGTTGGTGTTCGATGGCAGCATCACATCAGTAATGAGGAAGTCCGTCGGCAAGTCTTCAGATCTAATGAACCTGGCCGACCGATTGATAGCATCATTTCACTGCGGAGGCTTCGCTGGCTTGGGCATGTGCTCCGCATGCCTACCCAGCGGCTACCACGACGAGCCCTATTTGCGAGCACAGGCGTGGGGTGGAAGCGACGAAAAGGAGGGCAATGTAAAACTTGGATCCAATGCGTTAAGGCGCAAACGTTAAAGCTGGCTGTTGTTGGGCGTTCCCGACTCCCGGGTTGGGGACCAAAGGACCCCGAGCACAGCTGGTTGCAAACGCTGGAGGAAATGGTCAAAGACCGTACTCAATGGCGCACTTGCTGTGAGACTCTTCTACCCTAAAAGTTGGTTTCCCTTGCACGCTATATTTTTCTTCTTATGTGTTGTGGCACAGCAAATTATATTGTACTTGGTATAGTGTTGAAACAAATATATACATTATATATATATATATATATATAATTGCAAGCTCGTTTAACATTGGATAGGCTCCTCGTCAAACAGTTCAGGAGGCGAAGGACGAATCCCAGGTACCATTTGCATCGCTGAACCAACTTTATGTATCAAAGATAATAGAAACATTTACGAGAAATGCTAAGGGAAAGGAAGGTAAATACGTTTTATGAAAGAATCCATGGTCGTCGAATGGAACGCGTGTCGACAGATCTTGAGGGAATTAAATTAAAAGATTTAGCTGTGGAGCAATGGATATTACTTTGATGAATATTCTTTGGAATAGTTGAAAAGGAAAAACTTTGGATAAAAAGGTAGACCACTTACCATAGGCCTCAAAAATTTGAAGCCTTTATTTGCCCATAGCCAACCAGATAAGTCGAAGATCCTTGTCGTATGGACGATCAGAGAAAGCCTACACTAAAATTTCCGGCGGTTTTATTATTCCGCAGACAAGTCGTTGAAATACCAGTTTATTTCTCAGCTCTTCTACAGTACTTATGCCCCAACAAATTCAAGTACAAGCCAACTCAAACCTCGAAGCTTATTCTGATATGTGACCGAACTTTCTATGCTCGTACGAGCATTTTCTGATGGAACTAGTCTAGCCTCTAGAGTGAATGAAAATGCTGCAACACCCAATCAAACTTATGTAGGAAGGAAGTGAATTATTGTCTCATAGCTATGGCAAACCAATCACAGTACAAATAAATCATGCAGCAAATTGTGGCCCTTAGACTTGATCTGCCTCAGTGATAAATCACTATCAATGAAAATCGCATTATGTAAGACAGCTGAATCCAAAGTGAGAAATTGCACAGTATTAACGTAATCCCAAATTTAAGATACTGTTCACGATAATATAGCTTTCGGAGGTCAACTTATCGATGGTTCTAATAGACATCAGATATTTAAGCAATATTCGAACTTTTTGGCATAATCTTAACAGTTTAGACCCCAATAATAAACAATCTCAAGGACATTGAAATGCAAGTGGTGTTTGAGTTGATAGGCTTACACCGCTCTCAGTAAAGCGCGGTAAGCTCATCATCCCTTCAGTACATGTGAAAGGATGTCCTTTGCACCAGCTATGATATAAAAGCGCCAATTGTAAAGGCTGTGAAAGCGGGCGTGTGCCCTTGGTTTATTGGATCTTTATATACAAGCAAGACAATCTGGATGCGGCACGTGACGTCATCAACAATCGAAGACTAGAAGGCATCAGGCAAGTGATCATTGTTCATGGTGGGGTAAAACTTTTCATGCCATGGCAGAAGTCTAGGCTGTCCAAAGTCATGGTGCTTCAGGTATTGAATAATAAACAATATTGGCAGATTATGCCGCTACTAAAACCGCGCATAGCAGCAGGTCCGTAGTGGAGAGAAAGCATTGATCTGATGTTCGAACGCCCATGAGTTGTAACAAATATAAGTCGGACACGTAAGCGCTTGGAACCTACTAAGAGGTCAAAGCACATAATTCAGTGTTTTAAGATGGCTCAGTTCTGACCGCGGAGCGTGTAAACCTCTAGATTGTGTCAAACTGGTACTTCCGAACGAACTTCCGATAATTCACTTTTAAAGTATACGCCGCCATAATAACTGACTTCAAACTTGTTAGACATGACTTAAACTGTGCTAGCGTGCATGTCGCTTGCTCGAACCACCTCTTATGCCTTGGTGATGTTTGTCCAGTCAGGTGTGATGTGCTTGGTTTGGGTTTTAAGGTGCCACTCACGCAGTTCTCCCGCAAAATTTCCGAAATGGCCGCCTAAGCAAATTTTATGAAACCAGTGATGTGCGTAATGCCAGTCAGACCACGTCACTAACTAGTATGTTGACCATGCTCAAAATTTTTTTGTGCCTATTTGCCGGACCAACTTCAACTTTCCATTCGCATTTCTTGTCTTAACTTCCGCCGCAACCTCCGACTTCCAACTACGTAAAGCAAAACTGGGCTTCGACCAAATTTAGCTAAGGATGGCCAAGCGAAAGTCGAAGGCACCTTGGATTTTTGCTTAGATAGGTGATTTAGGCGCATGTAGATGTGCGTCGCGAAAAGTTCTTGTCGGCAACAGTTTGGGGTGAAGTGGGTTGGTGAAGCTCCTATGCGCGCAGGTGTGAGGACACATTGTATACAGATCTCCCGATTGATCTGTTCTTGAAGCTTACTGACCACGCGTCTTAATCCGAAACACACCTGCAATTAGCTTCTATTTTTCTTCACAAACGCTCTGCATCCCCAAGTATAATAAACATCGAAACCAACTTATCACTCTAAACTTTTGCTATATACAGCCATTACCTCCAGGAATATACAGCATTCTGACAACTTAGGGATTGCGGTAACCGTTTCTATATCGCATATTTCCTTTATAAAATATCAGCCCTTGATATTCCTGCGTTAGTTGCTTTGTTAAGAATATTATAAGTTTATATCTACCTTTCGATCTTGAACATTAATTTCTTCATTTTTGCTATCTATGCTTTAAGTAGCTAACTGGCTACATTGTTTCGCCCAGTTTTTGTTTGCAGTACTGACAGATCGCCTGACAGTTAATTCATGTGGTCATGACACTCGCTGCGGAACGGCTTCTGTGAATACGTGTTCCTTCATCGCATGTTAAAACGAAGTTAACCGGTTCCTTCACTCTGGTACCAGAATGCGGGTAGACAGATTTCGCTCTGGCCACCCGGATTTCTCGAGAGTAAGGTCAGCGGACATATCGTATTCATGCTAGATTTCTGCTGAGTCAAAATAAACCGGTTCCACTGTGCACACACCAATCAGGTTTGCAGCTGATCTACACCACAATTTCACTTCAAGCAGGAGAGTTTTAGCGGTCAAAAACTATTTTGTTGAATCTGACACATTTCTTCAAACCCCGCCAGCGAGCCTCTTTTCGGTCTGCTTCGGACTCCTATACCATCGCGCCTCTGCGCACCGTTCGGACTACCACTCTCCTTAACTCTTCGCACCGCCATTCTTTGCCCACCCTCATCCCTCCCAGTTGATGCATTAAATTGTATTTTTCCTTTCGTCCGTCCGCACTGTTGCTCGCTTCTTAATGCGTGGGTGGCATATACGTCGGTTACACTTTCCCCATGCTCGCTAGCAACTACATTAACGGATGAGTAGCCTGCAGTGGCGCATTTGACTTGATTGCTATGCGCCGCTGCCAAATGTGAACCGCATTCCAGGTGCTTATCCACTGAACTCGTTCTTGATTCTTCACTGGTTGGGTAACATTGAGGTTGGTTTTATCCAACTGTTTGACATTCAGGTGTCTGCAATGAACCAGGGATTCAAAACACTCCTAAAAGTTTAAAGATAAGTTATCGTTTGGAACAGCTATTATAAGCCTAGTGGTATTAAAGTGTATATCTTTGCTACATTTAGTGATTCAACTTTCTGAAGGAGCAGAGAGAAGCACTGAAAAATTCTGACACAAACCGTCTGTGGGTTGCTAGATACCTTACTGATTGCCAGTCGAAATAAGCGTCTGCCTCACAGATGGTGTTCTGTGCAAATCCAGCTGAAAACCCTAATCCTACACGAACTAGGAACCTGCTTTAGACACTCGCAGGTCCCAACACTACAACAGCTACCTACCACGACCACCTGATAACCACGGACCGAAAGCTGAGTGGCACCGCTCTTCCACCCATTTATGGTAATCAACGTCATTTGCATATTGAATGACTCATCATTGGTGGATTGTTCCAACCAAGCTCAATGTTCTTCTTTTCCGATATT